TTTCCACGCGGTTACACTTTTGACGTTGACGTTCCATTACGTTCGTTTGTATGTTATCTCGCGGAGATACATCGTTTTTTATGCTCGGATCATTCGCACGATTTTATTTCACTGGAATGAGCGATGATGTCCGAGTAATGGAAAGATCTGCATCATCTTGCTGTTTGTGTATTTCCATTATATTATTCAAAATACTTTTATGTATTTTCTACTACTTTTTACGATAACTGGCTGGAGTATGTTTATCTTGGATCGGAGTGACGAATGTTTTTTTGAAAGTAAATAATTGTCTGACCATACCTCGCTGTTTCTACTTACTATAAACATAGGGTTCCCTTTCAACTTTGGCACTTCAATTTACTAAATATTCCTGTGAGAAAAATTGTAATGGTTCTAGGATATTAAAGAAAAGAAAATTATGAATATAAGTGACAAAATTATGTCACTGAGTATGTCTATTTCATTTATATTTATTCATTTATTTTGGATGTAAAATGTTAATTTTAATTTTGCCGAAGATTGATTACAAGGCTGCAGTTCTTTATGCTATTTCATTTATATTTATTCATTTATTTCGAAATGTAAATTTTAATAACGCTGCAGATTGATTACAAGACTGCAATTCTGTATGCATTTATAATTTGGAAATCAATGAAACAGAAGCTCTTAATGACATTCGTTCTTCTTCTGTTTTCAAACCATTAGTAGAGAAAAAAATGTTACTTCACTCACTATTTATTATTTCATAAATAATATTTCATAAGTCATTATTTCATAAATTATTTGACATATTTTATTGCATTCGGAATATTTACCAAATAAAATGTCTCGTGTAAATGAAAATAGTTCAAATCGAATAAGGATTTATTTCTCAATCTAAGAATAACCAAAACAATGCAATTATTTGTTGCCAACTGTGTTAAATTTGTAATACTAAATTACACGCTAAATAAATGTCATTATAATATCTGAATCTCTAAATAACTGTTTTCTGTTACAGTTGGAGTTGTATGCATCTGTTGCAGAACTGCGCTTCATTGCTGTAAGTTTTAATATTAATTCATAATATGTTATATAAATTAATAATATGTAAAACGAATGTCTGGAGTAATTAATATACTGTGTCTGACCACTGTTCGCTGTTTCTACTTGTCGAAAGAATGTGCGAATATTTAACAGATTTTCAATGCCTATCTACAGAACAAGATAAAGGACGAAGCTTGTAAAGTAGATTATAAGCAGAGAACAGGAAGTAGAGACGTTTATGCTTCCTTCATTGTTACTGCGGCACAAACAAGAATCTGTGGAACCATGCCAACAAAAACTAATCACCAGACACATCCCACTGGATTACAAGAGCTTAAAAGATAACAGAAGCCAGCTCTAAATACCTAAAAACAATAAAGAAACATTTTAAATTGTACAAAGTTTCTGGAACACAGTGGAGAATTCATCAATGAAGTAAACCTTCGTTGTAAAATATTTCAACTATTTCTTTCTGTGTTCCTCAGGCCGTACGATCGCAAGTTAATTTTGAGTTGGTCAAAGTCGATGGTTCTTGTTTGTTCTTATTCATAGAAATTATTAAGAAATTATTTAATACATTAATTGACGAGAAAGTTCAATTCCTAGTTAAACATTCCTAGTTAAAATACCGCGAAAATATCATTTCCATTTATTTCTTACATAGAATGCATTTCCATTTCTGTTTCACGTGGAATATATTTCCATTTATTTCTTACATAGAATGCATTTGCATTTTCTTTTTATATAGAATCCATTTCTTCTTTTACACAGAATGCACATTTCCATTTATTTCTTACATAGAATGCATTTCCATTTCTGTTTTACGTAGGATGCAGTTCCATTTCTTTTTTACATAGAATTCACTTCCATTTCATTTTTTTACATGGAATTCACTTCCATTTACTCTTCTCACATAGAATGCATTTCCATCTACTTTTTATATTCAATACATTTCCATTTACTCTTCGCACATAGAACGCATTTCCATTTATATTTTATATAGAATGCAGTTACATTTCTATGTTACATGGAATCCACTTCCTTTTATTATACAGAATATATGTACATTTCTATTTCTTTTTTACATAGAATGTATTTCTTTTTACATCGATTGCATTTCCTTTTTACATCGACTGCATTTTTACGTCGACTGCATTTATTTTTTACTGCATTTCTGTCTTACAGAAAATGCATATTTTTCGTAGACGAAACACTACATGAAACTGCAGATCGAGTCGACGGAACATTCGGCGTCCGAGGAATTTCTCTGAAACATAAATTGAGAAATGGCGGCCAGAAAGTTCATCAAACTGGACACGAGTTGATCAAGCCAGACTTGATCTAGTAAATTTTTAGTATTGAGCGTTAACCGTGGCCATTAATAATTCTCCGGGCCCTGAAATTTCTGGTCCACCGCCAACGATACACGATCGAATTTGTATCGATGCCGACGGTCGCATCGCTTCCGAGGGAAATTTGTCTAACTGGTCCAAAAACCGCAAATTCGAAAATCGATCATTCGCGTACTCCCCCTTTCTCTCTGCCTCGCTCCCTCTCCCTCTCTCCCTCTCACTCTAACTCTCTCTCTCCCTCTCACTCTCACTCTCTCTCTCTCTTTCTCTCTCTGCACTTCTCTGTCTCGCTCTTTCACTCTTTGACTCTCTCTCTCTCTCTCTCTCTCTCTCTCTCTCTCTCTTTATATACACTTCTCTGTCTCTCCCTCTCTCGCATTCTCTGCCACGATTTTTCACTCTCTCTGTCTCTCTCCGATACTCTTTTTGACACTCTCTCGTCATTGAACACTCTATCTATTTGATACTCTCTCTCTCTCTCTCTCTCTCTCTCTCTCTCTTCGATACTCTTTTTGACACTCTCTCGTCATTGAACACTCTATCTATTTGATACTCTCTCTCTCTCTCTCTCTCTCTCTTCGATACTCTTTTTGACACTCTCTCGTCATTGAACACTCTATCTATTTGATACTCTCTCTCTCTCTCTCTCTCTCTCTCTCTCTTCGATACTCTTTTTGATACTCTCTCTTTATTGAACACTCTCTCTCTCTCTATTTGACACTCTTTTTGATACTCTCTTTCTCTCTCTTTTCGACTTTCTCTCTCTTTATTTGATTCTGTCACTTCCTATTTGACTCTCTCTCTCTCTTCTCCTCTCTCCCTTGGCATAATGCCCCGCGACGATGCAGAAGCTCTCGTCCAGCTTGCCCGCACAATTTGCCGGCCATCGGTGCGCATTATGAAATTTTCAATTTTCGGTCTCCCTAACCGTTTCATAATGCCGCGTCCCCGCAATTAACGATGACGATAATTATGAATCGAAAGTTCCGGGCCGCGTCACGTCACGGCCGACGCAGTCCACGGTGTATTTTCGGGTCGTATCATCGACTCCCCCGAAAGCTAATTACAACCGGAAGTTTTAATGTTTCGTTGTTTCGGGAAATTGGTCGGACCACGTATGTCGGTCGGTCCGACACGGTCGTGAAATATTGTTTGCAGTAACACGATTCGCGCACGTCGCGTTCTCGACGGCCTGAATCCTGAAAATTGAACAGACATTTATCTGGGAGCTTGTTCAGCCGAAATTCAATTTGAATATTTCGATGACACGTCGCGCTTTGCCTCGATCCTCATTAGACACTCATATTTCTGCCGTAATTAGACCGCGGATTTGAAATCAACTCGGAACGAGCGGAGTATTAACCTTCTGTTCTTTAAAAATTGATTTAATGGCAACGTTTTGTGTTGCGACGAGTATACTCGTCAAAAACAGCTATGTAATTGGTTAAATTCAGTTAATAAATAAGTATTGCTTAATAAAATTAAAAATGAAACTTTAAAAAACTTCAAAAACTAAGATAAAGCATTTCGTTGCAACTTAATTCTATATTATAGCAATCATATGTACACTTTTCGAAGAGATTGCAGCAGATAACTGGTTAATGGATTTTTCAATTTTTATGCTATACTGAGACGAATCTAAACAATATTTTTCTACATGATAGCCCAAAAGAAATTATTTGACAATGTTACAGGATACACGATTAGAATAGTTAGTGTCATTAAACAATTTATTAAGCAGTTTTGTACAGTAGATTAGAGATTTTTTGAAATTATAAAAATTCGAACATTCGATAAGTAGACGTAATAAGAAATGGACAGACTAAGAAGTTAAAAACGTTATTGCTTCTTTAAACACATGAATATTCATCGTTTTGCAATTCTTTGTGTAAATATAGGAACCACTTTTACACTATAGTAAATGTTTAATAGACTATTAACGCTGCTGTTCCGTTTTAATCTGTATGCAAATTCTTCGCTGATTAAATTATCAATTTCCATGCTGTTCTGTGTTATTTCCTCGTATCTCTGCGCAAATACATTGAAATTGATATCAAAATAGAGGCACGTGAACATTTAACGTTCTATTAGAAAGTTCTAAATGAGTTATTGAAAACTCTCTGTGAAAGGAACACGGTAGAACTAAAATATCGATTTTTAATTGAACTGATCGATCGCTAGAACATAATATATTGAACAGTACATTTATCATATTAATAGCGAAGTTATAAACATCATTGTTAAGAAAAAGCAATTGTAAAACTACTTTCAGGCGGTTCATGCTCCTCGACCAATCTATATTTTTCCAATTATATTTATATATATATATTCCTATATATATCCAATTCGTGTATTTTCATGTGTAGTAACCTATAATTTTTTAATGTTTTCCTGGTTCTTCACGATATTTCTCTTTATCGTAAACTACCATTTTTAAATAAAAAATATTATTATAACCACACAATTTATTACTGTAGAGTACGATTTTCTGAAAAATACATTCTTTCTTAAAA